AGTAAGGTTGATATACAGTATGAGCAGATCCAGGATTTAAAAGTGCCATGAACTGGGTATGAAAATCTACACTTTCATTAGTTAAGGTTATGATTACTTTGACAGTATAGATGAATTGATCAAGGTATGGAAAAGCCATCAGACATGGAGTGATATAGGGCCCATTAACAAGTCTTGTAATGGCCAGTCTTCACAAACGAAGAACCGGGGAAGGTCTTTACACCTTCCAGCCTGCGCACTGGATTTTTTAGGTGAGACACAGTGTGCGCGGAACTGAGCCCACCCTTTAATCCTGAGGTTCATCTGCCGGGGCCAAGCGAGCTTGGACGGTGGCAGCGAGGTCCTCAGGACGTAGATGGATTGCCTTACAGGGTTAACAAGCTCCATCTGCCCGGGGAGGGGCCCTGACCGGGACTCGAACCCGGGTCTCTGCAGTAACAGTGCAGCGCCTTTACCTGCTAGACCACCAGGGGCTCCCACAAGTCTTGTACTGAATTATGTAAATCATTTAAATGGATGAGATTCACCAGATGGTTTCCACCAGGAGATCTGAACCTTAGTGCATACATCTGCATTACCTGCTTGCAGCTAAAATCTTCTCCATAGCTTTCAAATTTGATATGCTTTTATTTCCCCATCTGTATTTTTTTATTATTATGACTACTTATTTTTCCAGGAAAGGGAGTTCATTCTTCCTGATATTTCTAAGCTGTGCTGCCAACTGTGATGAGAATTTGGTTTCATAATATAGTGGACAAAAAATGTGTTTATTGGTTCAGAATTTTTTCACAGATATGAGTGCCGATAATTAGGTGTAGTTCTGCATTAAATTTATTATAGCAGACAGAATCATTAGGGTGAAAAAAATATAGCTTGAAATTACTTTTGTGATACTAGTTTTGATAAACAGGTAGTAGTTTAGTCCCTGTGAACTCTTCTAATTTATAACTGATAGAAAAAACAGTCTTACTCAACAGAACTGAATAAAAAAGCCTCACTGGAGCATTTTAGTAAAAAAAAAAAATGTTCTATTCAAACTGACATGGCTTGTTAACATCATAGACTACTGAATACCTTGAATTTGTCTTCCAAAGATTAAAAAAAAAAAAAAAAGTATTCACTGAATAAAGTAATACTTCAGGCAAGGAAATAACAGGCTGGAGGGTAATCAGCACAGACCTTGCCAATACTGTGCTTCACAAATCAATCCAAAAGTTTCTCTAGGACTTATACTTTTCTGTGGGTCTTAAATAGCAGCAGATGACAGACAATGCCATACACAACATTAAACTATGCTGGCCAATTAATAAGCATGGCAGAACTAATCCTTTATCTGTTCTCTCCCATGGTAAATGCATCTGCTCTAACTGAAGTTAGAAAGAGTGTGTTCAGATCCTGGAATCCCTTATGTAGGTTCTTCAAATCACAGTTAGATTATACTTGATTAAGACAAAGAAATGCCTTTGTAGATCTGAGCCTTTATTTTCAAGGTAGCTGCAGACCTACTGTCTTCTTACAGTTACTTGTCATACAGATCATACTCACTTCCATGTCTGTATACCTAAATATATTCTTCTATGTCGGTTCATGAACATAAAAATGCCAAAGTTTGTCCACAAAAAGAAAATGTGGGCGATGTTTTTAAGGAGCCTGTTTGGTTTATTTCATGCTGACAGTCTTTGTAATAAAAGCATAGAGAGAATATATATAGATTAAAGAAACCTACCCGGCTGCCTTCAAACCTTGAGCGATCATTGTTTGCCTTTGTTGTTTTTTCTGCAAGTTTCTTCTGCCTTTGAGGGCCTTTTCCAAAGAAAATGTAGTTGACAAAGGCGTATTCAAGTAAGGCCAAGAAGACAAACACAAAGCAGCCCATGAGATACATGTCAATGGCTTTAACATATGGAATTTTAGGCAAAGTCTCTCGCAGGTGAGTGTTGATTGTTGTCATTGTCAGCACAGTTGTAATTCCTACACAAAGAAAAAAAGAGCACATGTCTTACAACTGCAAGCACACCATGCTTCAATTTTACTTTTCTTCTTGCAAATATGTCTTGTCAGTGTGAAGAAGCTTAAAAATTTGTGAAAGATATCTTGCAGGTAACATTACTGCAAATGAAAGCAAAATTAAAGCTTGATGCATTATTATTCTGTTACAATTATTTCCTTCATGTTATCAGGGGAACAGCTAACAAGGGGGACTGGCACCCTTGCTGTGAGTTAAGGTAACCTCATGGAAGCCAGTATAGCTTAACTGGAAATCTCTTCCATGAAGCCAAACAGGAAGAGTATTCATATAGACGGTGAAAGGCTTCTCCTACACAGACTTAAATTTCTAAGAGTTAAACAGCTGTTTGACCTCGGCCCTGTAAGGCCCCCCTTTAGCAGATAGAGACAGGCACCTTTCTAGAGCAGTTCATCCCTTCTATTTTAGACACCTATTTCGGGAAGGACAATATATAAATGGAATTTGATGACTAGTTTGGACCAGTAGGCTAGTTACATAGAAAGAAGTGAGGTGAGCAGTGAGAGGCAGACAGGTATGTGCATTTGTGGAAAGAAAAAGGAATGAGAGCACCATTTTTATAGTGACCAACTGGATATTAATAAAATATCTAGAGAAATCTATAAGGTTTGTCAAACCCCCAGTTATTTATCTAAGGATGGACATAGCACCTGGAAATATATTACAGAGCACTGTTTTGAAAATCTGGAAAGAAAAGCAAATTTATTGTCAGTCTGCCTGAATTCACAGTAAACTTCAGGATCTGTACCTCTGTTGGAAATTTTATGGGAATCACAAATCACAGGTTGCTGAAAACACTGACTTGTTGAATAAGACTACATTTCAAGGCAAGCCATTCTATTATGTTCCCTCCATTACTATTTTCACTGATTCCATAATTATACCATCATTTTGTAAGTAATCACTAAAATGCAGGCAGAACAAAAATAAAGGACGAAAGAAAATTACTACCATATAATAAAGCACAGCTTCTTTTACCTGAAGAGACAGAAATAAAGACAATACAACTCAAAATCCAGCTGTCAGTGTAAACAGTGTCACTCCAGGGAACTGCAGTAGTACCCTATGAGATTCTGTAACATATATTTTGTATATTTAGTAGGTCAGTATCATGTGGTTTTCAGTGCTTTTCCTCTAAACTGTGAAACAAGTGTGCGTTGATGTCAGATGTTTGCTGCTCCAGAAGACAAAGCACACTGAATAGAAAAGTGGCTATCACTAAGCAAAGGGAAATACATTTCCTGGGAGATCCTGAAACCCTGCAGGCAAATGTCCTTCTGAAGATCAATAATTTATTTTAAAGCACAACATTCCTTATGATAAAAAAATAAGATAATCTTATGATTACAGCCCTTCCCGCAAGTGAGAACTCGCTAGATTATTTTTCTCCTCACTCAAAGGTCTCCATTTAAGAACTTCTAAAGCTAACTAACAAAAAGTTGAGAGAGCAGAATTGATGGGTTTGAACATTTCTCTTGAGATTAGCCCTGTATCAGCCTCTACCTGCAGTGTCCATAGCACACAGTCTCTGGAACAAGCAGACCTTTGCTCCACACCTCAGCTCCACTCTAGAGGCAACTATTTGGTTCAGTGTAGCAAGGGACCAGGGACAAGGGTAAAACATGCAAGTGCATAAACTAGAATCAGGTTCTTGCAGAGAATAGAGGCTTCCTGTAGGGGCTGAGTAAAAGGTTGTCTCTGTGTCCCAAGAATTGCACAGGAATGCTTCCTCTAACAAATACCTAGGCTAGCAGGTATACCTTCTCTGTACTGCACTTTTCAGAGCCAGTTACATACATCCAAAAGTGCTATATTGCCTTTAACACACTTCGTATCAGCTTCAGACTCATAAGGGGAGCTACACAAACAACACAGGATAAGACCCACGGTACCGAACTTTATTATACAAACATCACAGACATAATCACCAATGCACTAATTGTTTTTCAGAAGAAACCATTAGATGGATTTCTGTCCTCTCAAAAGGACTTTCTATCAATCGGAAATAGAACATTTGGTCTCCTGAGCTTGCCTTGTACTCTCTGACTTTCGTTCTAATATTTGTCTTACAGTACTTGATGAACTTGTGCTACACAGAAATTGGCCCCAGGAGACAGTCTTGTTCCTTAAACAAGGAAAAATCTTATGAACCTATTATAGAAGGGCATGGAATGTCACTGGGTTTGGTAACTTCTGTCTAACCATCTGTTCTCTGCAGTTCTGGCCGACTGATGTGTTTGAAGTGTTCCCCTCCCTTGGTCATAGTGTCTCTAGCGGAACTCTGGTATCCAGTAGTTCATTTATGAATATATCAGAGGTGTTTGGACTCTATGCCACGCTTCCTATTGAGCTACTACTTAGCTGCAAGCTGCTGAACACACCCAGCCTGCTGAGTGTGTCATGCCAGATTGTATCACGCCCATACTATACCAGGTAATCCACAGTATCTGCAGTAACTGCAGTTAATCTACAGTATCTTCAGCTACCCAAGTTCAGATGCTAGGATGTAATATGATGAAGCACAAGGATGTAGCTGTCTGCCCTGCCTGCTTTGGTATGTGGCACCTTGTATGTGGCACTCCTAAGGTATGGGGTACAGAAATGGGAAATCATATAGGCATAGTTGGAGTCTGAGTTTGCTGTGGTACATTACAGAAAAATAAGGGATCTAGGGAATATCATTCTGTTTCAAGAAAATAAGAGAGTACTTCAAGAAGTTAGCACAGACTTAGTGACAAGCTCTGGATAGTAAGGATGTGATATTGGGAAGCACAGAATCTGGGACAAGATGAGAGGCAGCAGTATTCATAAGGATTTATAGATTCATTTAATCTTCCTTAGCTTAGCTATCCTTGAGTATGCTTCTGTGGAAGATTAAGTATTTGCTGTGAGATATTGTCATAGAATCTGTCCTGGTTCTGGCCAGGACAGGGTTAATTTCTGCAGTAGCCAATAGGGGGCATGGATAAGACCAGAAGGTCTTATATAGACCAGAAGGTCTATACCACTCATTGGTGGGGGGTGGGAGAAAGGGATTCTTTTTCCAGAAGGAAGGGCTCTCCCTGGGATGGGGTGGGGTAGGTGCAGTTGGGTCGCAAGTTCCACAGTGAGCATTTTTGCTTGTGAATCAATCTCTCCTTTGTACACTTTTGTTATTAATATTGTTGCTGTTATTAATTTTATTTTCTTATTGCTGTTTTTATCTCAACCCATGATCTTTGACTTCTGTGCCTCCAGTTCTCCTCTCCAGCCATCCACAGTGGAAGGAGAAGGGGGAGGTGGAAGTGAGCAGAATTGTGGTTTTTGTGGTAGCACTAAATTGTAGAATACCGTTCCTAAACCATGACAGAATCACCAAACGGTTTGGCTTAGAAAGGACCTTAAAGACCATCTAACTCCAAGTCTGCTGTCATGGGCAGGAGCACCTTTCATTAGATCAGGTTGCTC